AGAGTTCGTACATTAATACAAGGAAAATCTGAAAATTAGATTAAATTAACCATTTAGTGAATTCAGGCTTTCCTAGTATAAAATGGTTCCTTTATGTTTATTTAGGGGATAAAGCCTGTAATTTTCAAAGAGAGGAATATTTTGGATGGACCAATGCCTAAACAAGAGATTGCCACACACAAGAAGTTAGTGTCATTTTGAGATCATTTGCTTTGTTTTTTGTTTTCTGGCGTTTACAATTTTGACTTGACTATCATGGTTGTTCTAATGAAAAGATTATTTGTTTATTTTATATTCTGTCACACACAGAAGTTGCGATGATTTTACCTTTTATTTCTCCTCATCTTCTCTCTTTTGTCTTGTCCTCGTGCTTCCTTTTTTTTCCTGGTACAACTGGAAGATCATTTGTTGTTCTGCTGTAGTGAGTTCAAAATATTATATGACTAGTATCTTATATCTCCTCCCACTGTATCTTGCCCTTATTCAACCAACAGAATGACCCACAGTCCCGCTCCTATGCATTGCAAATCCTCCTTTTTAACCATGAAACTAAATGATTAGAAAAATACCAGTATCAGTATATTACGAAAGTATGGATGAAGTAGGAAGTCATGTAGTTACTAGGGAAAAAAATGAAGAAAGCTCCTTTTTTTATTCTGAGAAAAGATTTTTTGTTTTGTTTTAACAGTTTTTGTTGCCTGGAGTGTACTTTCTTTTGATGCTTGGAATAATAATGAGAACGTTCTGTTTCTTTTTTTGATCCTCAAAACAAAACAAAAAACCTTTTCTGGTCACGCTTTTGAGAAAACCCCTCTTTTCTTTTTTGAGAATATTGCTTTCCTCGGATTTTGTTATTGGGGAGGGTTGTGGTTGAAGGTTGCTGAAGAAATAGATAACTCGGAGCCATTCCATTGTGTAAGAAGTACCGTAATACTGAGTTAGCACTTTTCTGGAGCATAGGATTACAAGCTTGAGAAATTGTTCTTTCCATTCTTGAAATGAGAGTGCTCTTCGTATGAGTATGGTGTTTTCACTGTGCTGTATTTTCTAATTTAAGTCAAAATGATTGTGTCTGTTTTAAATGGGATTTTACTCGTCAGTTATCACCATATTGTAGGAAAATAACCTCCCTCCTGCAATTTGGTCAAAATTGAAATTGTGGTAGCTCGAGATATGCAAGTCATGTGTTGATGGTATTAAACTTTACATCATTCAGCCAGTCATCCACCTGTATGTTTCCATGTTAACAACCATGTTAAACTTTTCCTTGAGTTTCGGCGACTTACCAGATATAATTGTAGTCAAAAAAACCAAAATGTTAATTCTGCAATTAAATTATTGTGTTATAGTGAAGTCTGGTGGCTGGAATGTCTACTATAATTGTGTTATAGTGCTGCTATTGTTTGTAGAATAAGATGCTAATCAATAGAGGTGCAAACTGATAAGGCATTAGTCACAAAAAGGTAGAATGATCTTCAGAATTCAGATCATGCTTCTCCCTTAAGGCTTTCGTTGTAGCTAGTGTTAAGTTTATATTGTGGTGAATGTACATTGGATTTGCTCCAGCTCTTGTGCACATATCTTTGGATCATTGACAATTGGTACTTGTCATTACTTGAGTTTTTTTATTTCCCTTCTAAGCTGGTATAAGATTTGTTCCTATAAAATTGTGGCATTCTTCCGCAAGAATCTGGAAGATAACAAATAAGATACTCTTGACAAGGTGCAGAGTGTCAAATATTCCTCTGTGAAGAATTTACATTTTCTATTAACTGTATGAAATTAATGTTGGCGTAAACGTTACACTACACTCACTAAACCTGTTTACACCATTTTGGATATGGATTGCAATCTGCCATTGGAAGATCATTTTTCTTTGCCATATCTGTTGATCATTGCAGGTGTTTGCAACCATGCATTCCACTTCCATTGCATTAGTAGGTGGCTCAAAACTCGTCAAGTGTGTCCACTTGGTAAGTTGTATATATATTGCCGTCTCTGCATACACGTAAGCTGTCATTGTATGTTACCTGCTAATTAAGTACAACGCGCTTTTTCTTTCAGATAACAGCGAGTGGGAGTTTCAGAAGTACGGTCACTAGAATTTACTGTTGGTGTACAGTGAATGGGAGGAGCTTCAGAACTATGGTCACTACAGTTTTTCTGTCATCGACGTTGAAAAGAACAATTCTGCTGCCTTATGTTCCTTTCGTTTTTGCTCTGCAAATATCCAAAGCAATGACTCGAACTATGTTTTTAATTGTCGCATGTCTGTTTTAGGTTGCCTCAAAAGAATGAAATGTGATTGGAGACTAACCATATCTTATTCGTAATCATATTTGGAAATCACATATTTTCTGTGTTCTTCGGTGTTCATTACTATTTGTTGCTCTATTTACTTTTTATCATTTGATTATTCATGATCTTAAATTTTGACTCTGCCTCTAGAAAAACACTTACGATATAGGCTTTCTTTTTAGTGATAGTAACTTCATTTTTTGAAGATGACTTTAAACATGAAAGGTAGATAGCTAGAGGTATAAATACAATCTTCTTTGCCTCCTGGGATATTGATTATCGAACTTAGAACCTATTCGATTGTTTGTAAAGAAAAACAATATATAATTTATGATGTATCAAATTATAAATATTTCATTGGTTTGTAAAAATAAACATGAAACTAATCAAAGTACTAATAACATGTCGATAAAAAGAATTTTGATGAATTCATTCTGCAACTTCAAATTCAAAAAACAATGGAATTCGGACCACCAATAAAAGATGGTCATAATAAAGTTAACAAGCTATTTTATGATGTGATTGAAGATAAAAAGTAAAGATTTCGTGAGACTATTAGGCAAACAAGTCGATCATTCATGACATCCTACCAAAGCTTCTACTCCTCCATCAAGGAAGAATCAACAACATATCCAGTGTAATCTCACAAGGCGGAGTTTGTGGAGGATAGACTGTACACAAATCTTACCACTTTCCAATAGGTAGATAGACCAACATCTCACAAGGTGGGTTATCCTTAGCTTAGAGCATACACAAATCTTACTTTATCGAGATTTTGAGAGATTCTATTAGGCAAACGAGTCGATCATTCACGACGTCCTACCAACACTTCTACTCCTCCATCGAGGAAGAACCAACAACAACATATCCATTATAATCCCATAAGGTTGAGCTTCTGGAGGGTAGACTGTACACAAATCTTACCACTTCCTAAGAGGTAGATAGACCAACATTTCACAAGGTGGGTTATCACTTATCACTACCTTAGAGCATACACAAATCTTACTTTACTACTCAGTTCGGAAGAACCAAAAAAACAAAAAACTTTAAAGGTAGATAGAGAGAGTCTATTTCCGATAGACCCTCAGCTCGAAAGAATCAAAAACCAAAAACCAAAAAAAAAAAGACAACGTCGCCTGAGAGATTCGAACTCTCGCGGGGAAACCCCATGTACTTAGCAGGCACACGCCTTAACCACTCGGCCAAAGCGACACTTGTTGATATTTTATCAAATAGTTTAGTACCAATATCTACCCAAAAATAAAAAAATGGAAAGCTCTAGGAAAGATTTTTCATTAATCAAAGAATTTAGAAATTAGAAGAATATTTTTCCACTAATGATAATTAGCGCCCATATGGTTATTATTAATATTATTATAATCAAAAACAAATTCAAGAGTCAGAGTGGATACGAAATGAGTTTGACTCTTTCATATGCATACACTATAAATATTTTTATATAACTTGAGGCGAATATAATGAATTCAACTGAACAATAAAGCTATTAAATTTATGTTTTATTTATTAAAAAATAAAAAAGAGAACAATTATCGCAAATAACTTCAATTCAAAGTCATAAAGATTCTACTACCCACAAAAGTCTACCCCTATTGAAGAAATGTCATACACACAAGCTATAAAGAAAACATATAGAGGGTCTATTTTCAATTTGAGAATATTCCCCCATACAAATAATTAGCAATTAGGCAACCAAACTTCAAAAGGTTCAAGTACCCTTTATTGAATTGCTTGTAAAAGTCATTCATTATATTTAAACTACTATTATAAGGTTAACATAGAAAAAAGAAAACATACCCTTTTTGAAATATTACTTGTTAAGCACATTCAATTATTAGTAATATGAGAAGGTTAAAATGAAGAAGTAAAATATATATACCTTTTTGAATTGATTGTGAAGGACATTCATCAATTAATTAAACTAATTAACATGCTGACTTGTGTGGTTCATTTTTTTCTTTGCCGGTATTCAGTACTCATATTGAGGTCGATATGATTAAATTTAGATTTATATCAGAAAGTTTTGTATTAGACAATAAAACATTCTTTAATAATTACAGACGACCTTGTACCTAGCAAGGCTCGCGTCTGAAATATCTGATTAAGGATATGCAAGACTTGTTTGATTCATGTACTAGTTATTTTAGATATGTGATTAATAATAAAGAAATTGTTACGTGGTGATTATTAATGAATGGATATTTATTGTTTTACATAATTACTTACTCTAAGTGCATTATATTCTTCTCTTTAAATAGTTTGATCCTTGCATATTGCCAATATACATGCATATACTTGTTTCGTAGTATTTTATTTTGCATAAAATAATACATAAATTTTTATACGAACTTAAAAGTGAATATTAATTGACGATCCCGCCAATTACCAAATGTTGCATTAAATAATTATACAATCGCTAAATAGAATTAGTGATAGATTTTAACGTTTAGCTACAAAATTTATCCCTCGCGACTTCTTGTTCTTTTAGTAGTGTAAGGTACAAGCAATACAAACTTTCAAACTCCATGTTATAGTCAAGAAGATTCTTGAAGTTGATACAATAAGTCAATCAAGACTCTACCAAACTTTGATTTTTTTTTTTTCAATAATAACTTTCTACATATTATAACCTATAAATACACATACTATATCAATTTTGTTGTCAAAAACAACCACAATCAACTCAAAAAAAAAGTCTCCAAAATGGCTGTTGTTGTTAGTAAGGTATTTTGTTCACATTCTGAGGTTGTTCTTGTAGTAAGAAGTCGTCCACATGTTGTAAATGGTGGTGGATTTATAGTCACAAATAATTGTACACAAAATGTTGTTTTCAAAGTTGATGGATGTGGAATTCTTGGTAAAAAAGATGAAGTTATTCTAAGAGATAGTGATGGACATGATTTGCTTCTTATTAGGAAAAAGGTAATATTTGTTATTATTAGCACATGCATTAATTATCATGCATGTTTTCACCAGTTTTTCTCGAGTCGAGGGTCTACTGAAAACAATATTTCCACCTTATAAGCAAGATAAGGTCTATGTACATATACTCTACCCTTTTCAGACTTTATTTTGTGGGATTTACCGGATATTTTTCTCCCCCCCCTCAAATTATTTACTTATACATACACATGCATACATATAACCTTATTTTCTAGGAGACTAGTCTCACTTTTTATGAACCTATGGACAATAAACACGTGTATAGTTACTTTTTAGATGATCTTTCTTATTTTCCATAAGACTAATCTATTTTTTATGGGCATACATACGTTAACATATAGTTATCTTTTGGATAAATATGATATTTTTCACGAGGATTGATTTCATTTTTATGGACGTACGTATGGTTAACATGCTATTATTTTTTAATGACATGTCTTATCCTTTTCTTTTACAAGACTAATCTCACTTTTCATGGATATACGTACGTCGTATAATAAACATATAGTTATTTTCTCAACCTGATAGCATAAAAGATCTATTGTATGGTAAGTTTCTAGAAGTTAAACTGATCATATAGGAAAAAGGTCTACAACGTATATTCATATGATAAATTATCTTATTTTAAGTAAATTGACTCTAAATCTCGAATTCGCGATTGATTCATACCTTTCAATTTTTCAGGGAGGAGTAATTGAAGCACTAAGCATGCAAAAGAAATGGAAGGGGTATAGTAAAGATTTTGAAGGTTCTGAAAAGTTGGTATTTTGCTTGAAAGAGCCCAATAATTCTTGTTTCTTCAAGAAAATGCCAATCAAGATTTCAATTGAATCAAATGACTACAAAAATCACAAGAATTTTCAAATTGCTGGTTTTTTCCCTGATAGAGCTTGTAGCATTATTGACTCCAATGGCAATGTAGTTGCAAAGGTAAATAACTAATTTCATTTTGAATGGTGATATGTTTTTCGTATAAAGTATATTTTTGTTTTTTAAGACGTTCTTTCAAGAACATTAAGGGTGTTATCGAAAACAACCTCTCTATCTCTTTCAAGATAGAGATAAGGTCCCAATGAGTATATGGTCTATTATTGGTTCTTTCAAGAACTTAAAAACAAACATAAAAGTGAGAAAAATCGTTACACTAACAATAATATATTATCTTTTGCACTGTTCGATTGCTTAAAGATATCTACTGATAAACTTTTTTTAAATATGTAGTTTGCAATCTTGAAAAAAAGATATGTCACCTTGTATAAGATAAAAATTACTTGATGATATAAAAAATCCTTATACTCATGGACGGAACTAGAGAGGAGGAAGGAAATTCATGAGTCGAACCCCTCTATCAAAACCTCACATTATGTAAAACAAATGATGAACTCCCTTGGTATGAGAATCATGTTATCGCTGGCCACTCCTTAGACTGGTAGTGTATATAACTTAAACTGATAAGTTATATTATATCCTTTTATAAATAGTAAAAATAATCATAGTCTATGCAGGTTGGAGCTAGGAAAGAGTTACAACAAGTGATGCCAAACAAAGATGTGTACACATTGACTATTAAGGCAGGAATAGATCAAGCCTTTGTTGTTGGAGTGATTGCAATTCTTGATTACATATATGAAGGATCTACAAGATGCTAATTAATAATCTTTTTTTCTATATGTGTAGTGGCAAATAAGAAAATGGTCACCACTTATTAATTATTCCTAAAGTTATATGAAAGATTCTTGTCATAATCAATTTCATTATTTAGAATTGATGAGAATATTGTTTCATTACAATCTTTAAATTACTTTATGTATTCAATTACGTACGTACTTTTGTATTCAATGAAAATGAGTGTTTATCTATGTATTTTTAATGTTTTTTGGCTAGAGACGAATATAACCCCTAGTTGCCACAATATAGTTCATTAATTCAACAAAATCGAGAAATTCATTTAGCAAGTATAAATAATTTATTTAAGAACAGAAAATTGTATATTTTTACAAAATAAATTTATACAGATATAAAACATGTGAAACACTCGGCAAACAACAACATACCAAATATAATCTCACAAATAGAGTTGTAGAGTCTAGAGTGTATATGCATATCTCACCCCTACCTTGGGAGGTAGAGAAGTTGTTTCTGATAAGACCCTCAACTCAAAGAAAAGCACATCAAAAAGGAAATAATGAAAGTGAAGAAATCATCGTAAAATACTATAGAAAGCATGACATAGCAATTTAGCGGGAAAAAAAAAAGGGACAATAACTATAATAAAACAGTATGATAATCAAAGTACAAAAGACCATAGATAGATAGATAGTAATTAAAGGATTCAAACATTTTGCTGAAACTAAGATCCCAAGAAATGTTACATTTGACAAATAGAAACTCATTATCAGCATATGCAGAAAGATTGATAGCAACTAACAATCAAATGGGATCTTTTGTAAGTCTTGATAGCAAAGCATACATTTCTAACTGAAAACAGACAGTATCATGTGGCTAATCAGTCACGCTCACTGATGGCTGTTAAATGCTCGTCGATTTCCTCAGTAGTTAACACTCTAAAGACGGGATCTTCTTTCCTCACAACACCAACCTGCCAAAGACCAGAAGACATTATGAGACGAAGCAGGGAAATGATTGCACTACAATCCCACCTAAGACGATAAAGGTCAACCCAATTGTGTGATAAAGGTCTCATCTCTATCTTGTGGTTGTGGGGTGGTAACATTCCCAGGTGCAACTCAAGTATTTCATATAGTAATCAATCCCCAAACAAGAAAAAGAAATGATTCCTTCGAAGAAAAACCACGGAATAGCAAAAATCACTGCGCTCCCCCTCCTCTCCTTTTCCTCTTCCACTCGAGAGGTGATCAACATAGGTAATAATAAAGTAATAACTGCAATAACCAATGGCGGATAATATGTGGAAAGAAACAAATTACCTCAATTTCACTGGCCTTGAAATCCTCTTGCAGAACAGATTGAAGAGCAGAAATAGTGGTCTGCAGAACAACAAATAATGTATCAGCAACAGTAAAGTGCATCCTCTGAACTTCAACATCAAACCTCATACACACAGAATTCTAAAAAGTACATGAACACAATATACTGAAAACTTGACAAATAAAATTGTGCTCGATCACAATCAAATGTAGAGCTTGTACAATTTATTTCAAACATCTGCAAAACTGTAAGCACTAGCCAAATTAAGAGTTCTAAGGCTTCAACAAAAAATCCATTTACCTGTGCTGGTAAATGATAGAGAAAGCCGCTTCCAGATTTTATTAGGAGGTTATATCAACTTTAAAATCTTAAATTTAACAATAACCAAGTCTCAAGTTCTATTTTTTTATCAAAATTTCCGTAGTCAATTACACAATAAGATGATAAATTGTGTAGTCTTTTGCTAGAATATACAGTGACGAACAGAACAACAGAAAGATAATAAAAGCCTTAAACCACATCTGTGTACACCCTTCCCTTTTTACCTGAACAGTTTCCTCATAGGAGAAAGCAGGGTTATTTTTCATTTTCTTCTCCAAAAAGTTAATTGCCTCTTGCTCTTTAGATCCAGCACTTGTAGCCTGCAACCAAGGTCAATAAATGTAATACCGTCATAAACAAGAAGAAAAGCCTTCAAAGTATCAATACTTCCAAAGAATCTCAAAACGGGACTTAAAAGCCCTCAATGTCCTCTCGTACACTGTAAATATAAGATATTATGGAAGCATATCCAAAGGAAGCGATCACCGTTTGCTAGTAATTACTGGATAAAACATGGTATTCATACGACTGGATCTTATAAGGTCAGTGTAAGCACCGATTAAATATTAAAAAAGCAAAGCAGGGAATCATGAAGTCTAGCATCTACCTTTCAACTCATCCAGAAATCTTCTCATGTGCATGCTTCAATTCATATTGAAAAAGATGGGTGATAATAGTAAAATATCATCAATTTCCTTACAAAATCTAAATCAGGTTTTCAGATCCAAAGTAAAATCATCCTTTGAATTACAGGATTTTACATACTTTTAAATAGAATGAATTATAGTAGGATTTTTCGGATTAGAATTTTAATGTGTCACTTGAACCATCAATGGATTCAAACCACCTGGTTGGTTTATGTTCTGTGTACAACTAAGCTACAAAGTGGTGCTAGAACATGATTGAAGACAGTGGGACAATAGGGTTAGAAAAGATTTGATGTAGCTCGAGGCTATGGTACATTGGTATGAAAAAAGAAAGATGCCACTCAATGTTGTAAATTTGAGAGATATGGGAAGGCAATCACCAAATGGCTACCCATAAGCAGGAAAAACTGAATCAGCTTTTATTCAGAAAAGAAAATCAAATTCAACAAATACCTTATGACCAAAAAAATGACCAGCGGGGTCACATTTGAAGAGTTGGGGGCCTTTCTCCTCATCGATGCCCAAAATCATAGCAACTATGCATCAAAGAAGAGACAAAAGAAGAATGAATAAAAATGTAGACGCAGAAATGCATTCCCCTCTTTCCTCACCAACAAAAAAAAGTGGGAGAGGCTTCACAAGAATCAAAGGGGCCAGCAACAAACCTACTCCAAGGGGTCTCATATAGGCATGCTGTGTGTACACCTGGGACTTGTCTGCAATCCTGAAAATACATGCTCTACAGATCATTATATAATATCACTGCTAAATTAAAGCTGGATATTCCTCTCGCATATGTACTTTTATCTGTTATGCATTCTAGATGATGTATTTACATATTGCCAACTAAAGAGCATTTATAATATTCTCAATCTATTTAACTTGCTTCCTCTAATAAATTAACTAAACATTTGATAGCTTCAGAAATTAGAAGTTGATGGAGAGATCATATAAGATATGTGACATATCATAAGCTGCTCCTGCCCTACCAAAAGTTTGCATTTCCTTTTAACCTAGAAAAAGACCATTGAGGATGGCACTCTGCAGTATTAACTGGGCAAGTACATAGAGAAAAATATCATTAAGCAAAGGGAATACCATTTAGACAGTACATCTGCTGGCATTTCATAACCATATTTAAAGCGAAACTCAGCAGCTTCATTTCGAGCTTGTTGAACCAAAGTTCTTGCATCAGCTGAAATTGAGGACAAGTCAAAGCAAATTATGGAATCATAAGCTCTGGAAGGAGCTACGCGTTCCTATTCTCATAGTCACAGATTGAAAGCAATATGATACATAGCTAAATAAATCTAATACAAGATAAGTGAATTATTTTTTTACTCAAAGTTGTCTCTAATTAGTTCATAAAATTAAATCAATAGCCTCAGTTGTGAAGTGTTCTCTATTGGGGCTAAGCAACCATGCTAAAAGAGATTGGCAGGCATCCATTCTGGAAAATTGAGAGTGCAAATTTTCACATTTTTGCCACAAATATGCATTATCACAAAAAGGAAGATAAATCAACATGTTTACTTTTTGCTTGCAGAGAAAAAAGTGGATAGATATATAAAGAATCTTTATTAACTGATAGTTTATCAAAAAAAGATTAAAACCATCATTTGCCATATACTCCATGAACCCCATAAAAGAGTGCAAACCTGTCATGCCAGTAGCCAATAGTCCAAGATACTTGGTAATTGGGAACAAATGGGATACACTGGTCTGATCCAATAGCTTGTCCTGCTCAGCCAAAATACACAAAACTTCAAACTCCATGTAACTCACAATTTCCAAAATTACGGGTCTACTTTTAGGAACATCAAGTCAACATAAATAGGATATACCAGAACAAACTACAACACTATATGATATATATTCAAAACAATGGTGTCCTTTTCTCACAATTCCCCCAACCTTTGCTATATCAGTAATCCTACATCGGGTGGAAAATACAACGATACTATTGATCAACTAAGCTTCAACTTCAAATTAGCTGGGGCTGGTTTCATGAATCCTCTACATCTATTCTTCTTTATTCAAGCCCAATTCACTGGAATAAGTCTTTTGATCCAAATTACGAGCTCTAGAAAACTAGAGGATACAAGTTTCTTAACAGAACAAAAACACTAATGATTTACAAATTGCACCAAAAATTGAACTTACAGTGACTTTATTCAGAGCAACAACACAAACAAAGTCAAACAACTAAGATTCAATCCTTTTATAAATCCTCCATATCTATTCTGCTTTATTCAAGCCCATTTCACTGGAATACTAAAAACATTCTCCCTGATCACAAATTAGGAGCTCTAGAACACTAGAGGTTCCCTAAGCCTCTCACTTTCCCTTACAGACCTACAAGCCTCTCAACAGAGTAAAAACACTAATGATTTACAAATTGCACCAAATACTGACACTTACAGGGACTTTCTTCTGAGTAACAACACAAACAGAATCCTTTCCACGGACACCAATAGATGTGATTCCAGCTGCCTTCACAGCCTTAAACGCATATTCTGTTCACACAAAAAAAGTAACAAAAAAACTAAAACTTTTCACAAATGACACAAAATCGAACAAAAATACGATTAAACTGGAGAAAATTCACTTATTAGTTCCGAAATTCAAATCGAGTTATAAGAAAAATTAGAAAAAAAATTTTAAAAAAATGAAAATGCTTACCGACTTGAAAGAGACGACCTTCAGGTGAGAAGATCGTAATGTGACGATCGTATCCGCCTCCACTTCCTCGACTCATTGTTCGATTCTACGGTTTGATTTTCTCAGTTCGATCTGAAAACTTTTGTCGAACTGATTTAGGGTTTTTTTTCAGTATAAGAAATGGTAGATTTCGTGGAGAAGAAGAAGAGGAAGCTTTGTTCCTGAGGTGTCTACTGAAGTTACGAAAATACCCTCTTTAAGTCTTGTTTGTCTAATCGAATATGTATTATACATGTTTTTGTTCGTTTATTAGTTAGTTAAGTTAACCATATAATATATCATATTTTTCGATCATATGTGTCATTTGTCAACCTCAAATAGAAAATGATAGAAGTTCTACGTTTTATTGAGGAGAACATGTAATTAAAGGAGCATCAATCTCAAATAGAAAATGTTGGGAGTGTACGACTTATTGAGGTGAATGTGTATAATTCAAAAACATGATATATTTGATGTGGTTAACTTAACTATCTAATAAACGAATTAGAGCACCCACACAAAAAAGAATAATTAAAATCAAAAGTGTGTGATTGAAACACTGTATTAGTAGTTGATGTGCTCAATTGACACGTAAATTTGAGTATCTTAATGGAATATCATGACAAGTTTAGCAAATTGTTTGGATAGTTGTTACCAATCGTTTCATAATGTATTGTATGTAGGCAAAATGGTCTGATGGACCATTATATTTGACTCGGATTGTAAACTGAACTCTTCTACTCTCTAAAGTTTCAACCAGACACTTCAACTCAAACAAAATAGAAATTTTAAACCCTTATGTCAGCCGGTGTTCCTCACTCAATCTGACATGGATGACACATCATATCCACGTCAAAAAAAACCCACATCATATCCATCTCATTAATTTAATTGTCACAATGCTATTTTTATATATTTATTTTATTAAACAAATAATTACTTTTAAAAAATGGTTTTCCCCTTTGTTCTCAAGAACCCTAACCCAAAAGAAAGTTCATTAACATTTGACAACCCCACTTGAGCTTACAATTTCATCAAAATTGATATTTGAAGAAAGCACTCAAACCCTACTACTCTTAATACTAAACTTGACACTAAAAAACTTGAAATTGAAAGAAAAATTCAAACTTGAAAAAAGAAAGATCAAGAAATATGAAAATTTCAAAGTTGTATCTATGATTTAAAAGAGAGATGAAAAATTGTTTTTTATTTCTTTAGAAGTTTTGCTTCTAAAGAGATAAAAAGAAGCAAGTAGTAGTAGCAAAAATCATTCTTCAATTTCGTTTTGAGCTTTCAATTTGGAGAAGATTTTTTTCTTTCGTTTTCAATTATTTTTGTTTTGGATTTTTGATGAACGTGTTGTTTTCATTTGAAAAGTGAGGAAAAATGAGATTTCAAGAAAAAATAATCGATAATAGAGAGGATATGGATATAGCAGTTGAGAGATCTACTATTTTCCAAAAAGGTGGGTGGGTGGGTGGGTTTGAAGAAGAAAGGGATTTTCTTTTTCTTTTTCTTTTTTTGCCTTTTTTTTAAGGTAGGTAAATTTATTTTTTCTTTTTATTTAATTTTCTTAACTTTTTAATTCAATTCACACTCATGTTTCGCGTGTGTAACACGCATTTTTCCAACTCAGCTAAATTAATGCCACCTAAGGCTGGTCAATGGTCAAAAGGACTTAAATTTTTCTGTTTGTTTGAGTTGAAGTGTCCAGTTGAAACTTTGTGAAGTAGAAGGATCCACTTTACAATTCGAGTCAAGTATAAGGTCTACCAGACCCTTTTGCCTTGTATGTAATATATTACTTTAATAAAAACATCACGTAGATAGATTGTACCATTTGTCGTTGTCACGTAATGTCGCACATGAACAATTTAAATGATAAACTTAAAAAAAAAGAGCAAGTTATGAGATAAAGATATTATGAAAAGGTACAATAAAGGATAAAACAATATTATTAAATAATAAGTAAAAATAAAATGAGAAGAAAATATTAAGGTATCGACGATCACACCAAATTGATTGTTACACAAAATAAGACTTTTCGTTATTACTTAATGATGAATTTAAACAATAAGATAAAATGAAATTTAAGTAACATTCAAAATAAATATAATATTCAAACTAACGATACAATACAATACAACATGTAACGACTAACAACCGTCCAAACAAGTTGTAAGAGTCTAACCATATATTAAGTTTTTTCTAAACAAAAAAGGACCAAACTTATCCCTATTATTTTCGAAATTATTTAATATCTATCCTGTGTTTTATGTTTTCAAATAGGCATATGCATAATCATCCATTTAAACTTGGTCTTAGTTGGCAAGTCACTAGTAAACATTGTAATTTTAATAGTATATATCTAGACACCTTAATTTGTTCGCAATTGATAATTAAACAGTCCAACTCATCTTTATTAAACATGACACATAAATTTTGAAAGTATCTAAATGATCATTTTACAAGTTAGAATATTTAACTGATACAGTGATAACAAGTTAAGGTGTCTAGATATGTATTAATGTATAATTAAAATTAAATTATGTATTTAAATAATATTTTTATATTTAGATGTCTGATGTTCAAATTCTTAAATAAATCTTACTAAAAATTTCAAATTCAGATCTTCAAATCTTTAAATAAACTTCACACCATGAGAATTCACATCAATCAAAATTTAATATAATATTTCATTTCAAGCGAACCATCTTTTAAAAAACACAAGAGGGTGCACAAATCAAAATGAACATTCATAAAAGCATAAATGTTACTCCCACCCTCTTAATTCACGTAATATTAATGGTTGACTTGATAGATAGTTTAAGATTATTTATTTAATTTGTTATTTAAATCATATTTTAGATATTTACGTAATTATAATTAAATTCTTTTTAAAGTAAGAATAAAATTTTAAAATCAAAAAAGTGAATAAAATCATATTGAAAGTGATATTCTCAAATGAACCTTATAATATATAATACAAATTTAATTGAATCTCTATTATAAATTTCAAATATCAAATAAAAAATATATTAAAAAAAGTACATGAGATCTACAAATGGACCACACATAGACAAATATAAAAAACTACTCATTAAAATACTAAGCACAATTGCACCGCATTTCAACTACTTTTGTAATAGTCGTATTTTTTTTATTCTTAATCAAATATCTTTAGATTTGCATCTATATAAAAAAAAATTGTTTGAAACTTGAAAGCCCTTTGAGTCCAAGTATGAAAGAATTATTCTATTAAAAATGCCTTTTCAAAATAAATTAGTACACTTTAGTATGAATATTGAACACTAAATTTCAGTGTGAAAAAATAAAAATATTGCATTAGTATTTTTTTTTTCTGATTTCCTACCCGACGTATAAAATGTACATTAAAGATCAAATTCAGACCAACTAAATTCAAATCATGTATTTACAGAGTCTATTTGAAAAATAACACTTTATCAAAAAAATTTCATATCCGAGTTCAAACCTGAAACATATAACCAAGGTGGAGTAGTCACACCACGGCGCCTTAATCCATGTGGTTAATGCATTAGTATCATTTTCACACTAACACCACCTCCACCCTTACCCCCACACCTGTCCTCTTCCTCTCTTACACTTCATGCACCACATCTAGCCCATTTTTTCTCTAAGTTCTTGAAGTGATTCTTATGTTTTTCAACTCAAATTCATCATTCTTACACAATTAAATCTATTGATTCCCTTCATAAATCATTTTTCCAACATCAATCCTACGTTTTCCAGGTTCAAATTCATCCAATTTTTAGGTATGCATTTCGTGTATATAAATCAGATTCAATACAGCATTACTCTTTATCATTTTGGTGTTTTGTGACATTGCTATATCTATGTACAGGGATATTTTAGTATTGATTTGATTCAGATTGTTTTTGCTACCTTTAAACTTCTTAAAGATCCAATCTTTAGACAGATTTTGTGCGTTACTGAATTGGGGTTACTGATTTCTCTTGAGTCGAGTCGGAAACAACAAATCTACTACAGGGAGCAGGGGTAAGGTCTGCGTATACCATACCCTTTCCGGACCCCACTTGTGAGACTATATTGGGTATGTTGTTGTATGTATTTCTGCTGTGAATTATTGTTTTTGTTACTGATTTTGTTGGATTTAACATATTCCAGATACTGGGTATTTCAAGATTTTATTTGATTTTAGTGTTGCATTTTGTTGTTGCTACTTGTTCTTTTCGTAATTGTTTTCAGCATGGCTTGTTCGCTATTCTATTTGGTTGACGTACTTGTTTTTTGGATATGATTTAGTTGAGCCTAGTGTTTATCGGAAACATCCTCTTTACCTGCATAAGGCTGGGTGAGGTTGCGTACGCACCACCCTCCCTAGACTTCACAAAGCTACTATCTTTGGTTTTTACTAGTATTATTAGAACCAATTGTTGTATATTTGTGCTCTGAATTTTAATTATGTAACTTGATTTTGTGGTAAATTAAATATTCTGGGTACAGGGTTTTCAATTTAATCCCTTCATCCGTCTGGCGGCTGGCGCTGCTCTATATTTAATTATTGTTATAATTCCTTCATGTTGGTAAAGCTGCTATCTTTGTTTTTCAGTCTATGTTGCTCGGACTCTTCAAAAATGTTGATGTGTGTGTGTTGAATACTCCAAAAGTACTGTATTTTGGAGAATCTGATACGGTGTGGCAAAAATTTTGGAGAGTCCAAGCAACATAGTTTGCAGTAGTATTAATGTTACTTTAATTTTTAGGATTCGTTCACCAGGTAGAAAATAATAGCGAGCAGGATGGATCTGCTGCAAAGATAAAATTTGGCCCAATCTTTAGTTGAAGGTGGCCAGTAGGAAGAAGCAATGGCATTATTGTTATCAGTCCATGGTTTTGCTGGAAACTATCTATTATTGCAGGACATTACTGAACCGTGAAGTCTTTAGTGTTGGGGTTGGACTGAGTACGGAAATATATTGATTGGATAACGGGTGAAGGCAGGATGTTTTATATTCATAAGATAAAGTGAAGGAACGAAAAAGGGTCTGTTAATAGGGTTGGACTTTTAAGTATTGGATGATTCTTTGTTGTGCTTGGACTCAATTGGTTAAAATTGTATAATTTGTCTCTAATTAGTGGATCAGCATCTTATGCTCTCACATATCGAGAAGGAAGCTTATGGAAGACAGCTATTTTTGATAGAATAGGAGTACTATTTGATGCTGTTTCTTAAAGATGCCTACTTCCTGATTTGAGAGTTATAGTATTTTTTAAAGTATTGTTGTCCATTATAATTTGTCGAAGGTGGCTTTCTGCGTTCTATAAGTGTCTGAATTGTGGTCCATATCAAGATTTGTGCCTGTGAATCTCCAACTGCACTTTTTTTACACCAGAAACAGCACTCTTGTTTTTGCCTCAATCATTTTCCTTCCACTTATTGGCAGATGTTACTCTGAAGCAAAAATAATGTCCATTGTGGTGGAATGAGTTCAAGTCCAAACATCCCTAAGCTTCAAGGATGAAGGGAGGTTTGAAGGTGTCACAGATCTCTCTCATCCTTATTGGATTCGTGTGTGCTTCTGTTCTTCTTTTGGCATATGTGAAAAGCCTATTTCTTTCTTCTTCAGTACTACCTCAGAATCATGTCTTGCAGCTCTCTCCAGGTTTGCAGAAACCCTCTGACATACCATTGTTGTCTTTTCATTTTTTCGTTACGGGTTAGTTAATATCTTCATCAAATTTAAAGATTATGGTAGTATTTTACATTGGAGCGCTTTGTTGTTTGGGTTAAGAACATTTTCATGCAAAATAAAGAAGCCCTTTCATTAATGATTCAACCATTTTATATATCATTTGAGTGAAATAAGTCTTTCTTTAGTTGAGATGCATTTATGGGTCTAAGGTTGCATAACCAGTGTAGTTGTAGCAACCATTTTTATTGTGAGAATATCTTATGAAGAAAGCTTGTCTAAATTGTTAGTTAGCATTCTTTGAACTTTGAAGTGAACACGTACCCTCTTTTTATGTGATTTTAAGATACATTCTTACCTGGCGGACATGGAGTCTCTAATGCATACACCTTTTGTCAAATGGTCTGGCTGGATCTTTACCGCAGTGATCTTACTTTATGGTGGACATACTGCTGACTTTGTTAATCTGGATGCATTTTGCTAAGCAGTAGTTTTTTGTTCTCAACTATTTATCTCCTTGGAGAAAGGTCTAGTTCGTGTATTTCCGCAACTACTTTTTAAGTAATAAAGGCACTATTCTGAATTAGGAGTTTAGGACTCAACTCCCTGGTGGACATGTTGCAGGATCCTGTTGAGTTACTTATTAGACTCTCTTCTCTGGCAGATCTTAGAGTGAAAGATGAAGAAGCTTTGGGAGAAGGAAGCGGATTGGAGCAATCAGAAGACAGTGTTAACTTTGAATCTGAAAAATATCCTACTTATGCAAACTCTTCGCCAGTGATTAAGGTGACTGAAGAATTGATTACTCATGAAGAAATAGGAGGTAGGTGTTGTTTCGGGACATCATAATTTCCTCATCTCAAAGTACCTAAACCTTGATGAATTAGAGGCATCATTTAACTCATGAAAATGGCATATTGCATTGTAATGGATTACTTTCACAGGGTCGTCTTGACGTGCTTAAGTGAATATACTCTTTCATTTTATTCTGAGCTACTACTAAAGTTAACCGACTCTACTCTCTACAATTTGATATTTTAATAGTTTTTTTCGGCAGTGCAGGTATTGCTCCGAATATCACTGAAAAAGGAGATTTAACAGATGTTTCAGACAAAAAAACTGGTTTAATAGAGCAGGAAATTGACGTTTCCACTGCTGTGAGTTCTGGGGGTGAACATAGTGAAATTTTTACAGCAACCCCGGAAAGACAAGGTGGCCCATCTTTCCTTTTTTATCCTTATTTATCTAATCACTGATTTGCTTTGTCAATTTCTCCGACCGTGTAATCGTTGATATTGTTTAACTGAGAATTTGTCTACCAGTTCTTGAGATATCCCTTTCTTTGGGTCTTCTATAATATGATAAGCCTTGTTTTCAGATTGCAACTTTGCTAAAGGCAGATGGGTCATAGATGATAGCCGACCTTTATATTCTGGATTTGGCTGCAAGCAATGGTTGTCATCAATGTGGGCTTGTCGTTTGACACAACGTACAGATTTTGAATACGAAAAGTTACGTTGGCGACCCAAAAGTTGTGAGATGGAAGAGTTCACCGGTGTTAAATTTCTGAAAAGGTAGCGTTATTTTTCTTATGAAGTCTTCATTTCTGATCCTTGAATTCAAGTTTGAGATGTGGTCCACAAAAGAAACAAAAAGTTCTTTATTAACTGTATGAAAACCTTTTCTTTATTTGTTTCTAGCACAACTCAAGTAGTGTCTACCTTCTCTCCGTCGGTTATTTTTCCAAGGCTAATAAGATGAGCGTTTGGCTTAATCAAAATGTTATAATGTATATTAAACCTGAAATGTATAATCTGTTACAGTAGAGCTATCTTCGTGTCTTGTCGTCCTCCCTTTTCTTGCGCATACAGACGTGCAAATCATGAAAAATGTTTTCACAGTTCCGGAAGGTTATTTCTTATTACTTAGCAATTAGCATTGCTATCTCTTTTCCTTGAGGTGAAATTATTTGGATTTGATTATTCTACATGTAAGAGATTCACTAAATTTGATGGTGCATCCAGGATGCAAAACAAAACTCTGGCGTTTATCGGGGATTCGCTTGGTAGACAGCAATTTCAGTCACTTATGTGTATGATTACTGGTGGAAAAGATAGACCTAATGTTCTTGATGTTGGGCACGAATATGGTCTTGTGCAATCTCGTGGTTCTGCGCGACCTGATGGATGGGCTTTTCGATTTCCAGACACCAAAACAACTATTCTTTATTATTGGTCTGCTAGTCTCTGTGACTTGACACCCATAAATCCATCCGACCCTGCTACTGATTACGCCATGCACCTGGACCGTCCTCCAGCATTTTTGAGTCATTTCCTTCCAAGGTTCGATGTCCTTGTTCTAAACACAGGACACCATTGGAATAGAGGAAAGCTTAAGGCCAACCGGTGGGTCATGTATGTGGGCGGTGTTCCTAATACAAACAGGAAGATTGCGACAATTGGTGGTGCCAAGAATTTCACAATTCACAGTATTGTCAATTGGGTGAACTCACAGCTGCCAAAATACCCTCATGTAAAAGCATTCTATCGGACTATATCCCCCAGACATTTCTTTAACGGAGATTGGAACACAGGAGGTACATGTGACAACACTACTCCACTTTCCGAGGGGAAGGAGGTTTTACAAGACGAATCAAGTGACTATGATGCAGCACGTGCTGTAAGAGGAACAGACGTTAAGCTTTTGGACATCACTGCTTTATCCCAGCTGAGAGATGAAGGTCATGTATCTCGATACAGCATCAAAGCAACACCCGGAGTCCAGGATTGTCTACATTGGTGCTTACCAGGTGTTCCAGATACATGGAATGAAATTCTTTTTGCTCAAATTTGATATACCTTAACTCGCAAACTACTGGTGTTGAAACTTGAAACTTCTTCTCCATCTGCCATCAAAGGAGCGCGAGTTGCCAAATGATGCAAAATACTACATGAGTAATATCGCGAAATCTTTGATCCATGGAGATACTATATGACTTATACATTATAACAGAGAACTACAGCTGCTGCTTTGCCATATGCTAAGAAGAGGAGTTTTTTGTTTTAGGATTTGAGGGTGGAAGAGAGCTCCACCATTGATTTGTACACTATATATTCCACATGAGTTTGTACTCTTTTAGAAATATGAGAAAACTATCCAAGGTCATTTATGGTGATTTTTATATGTTTCCATTTTCTTATTGAAGTTTATTCCATAGATGAACTTTTTTCTAAAATTTTCCAGTACTATGTGATTAATGTAATAGGCATATATGACATTATTACATCAGAGTGAGTTTACTCAATGTGCACCTGATCAGAGCGAATTTGCTCAATGCACATCTGATCAGAGCGAGTTTACTCAATGCACACCTCATCAAAGCGAGTTTACTCAATGCCCACCTGAAGAGTAACCCCTGATAATTTACTTATGAAATTGAAATCACAAGATAAAAATAACATTAAGCCAAATGCAAGTTTTTAGTACATTTTCATGGTGGACAATTAGATATAAAAACTAAAGGGTCGTTTGAACTTGCTTTGAAGTTTTTTTTTTTTTTAACCGTGGTTTCCGGGTGTCGCTTTGCGAACCCAACTAGCTGTACTCACCGGGTCCCGCTGTTTCAAGGCGGGTGCACCACGGTTAGTTCCACGGGGCCCTGGAAGTTGAGATTTTGTTTAGATAGGCCATTTGAATTTTTTAAAGTTATATTTATTTTCATAAAGCATGAGAATCTCACAAAAATTATTAAAGCCTTTTCTACTCTTATGCAATCTTACAAATGAACAAGAAATTGAAATATTCTAATACGTCGAATTAATAAATCACATATTTCATTTTTAAATAAATGCAATTTTCAGATACACATGGTTTTAAAATAATCTATTAATAATAACAAGTTATACTTTAATATAACTCTCGCATACGGCACAAACAATCTATTCTCATCGATATTTAAATACTATTTTAAGAAAATAAATATTATAAATAGCAATAATTGACAATTCAAAATATTTACAGTCATATGAAAAAATCGCCATGAAGTCACTATGACTCAAAGAAAAACTCGTTTATGTCCCAAATTACGATGGATAGAGTAAATTAGAGCAACAACAATATATTTAATTAGTACATACAGTTGAAAAGAGTAACGTGTACACGAATCTTTACCCCAACCTTAAAAGGTAGAGTCAAAGAAAGATAGTTTTTGATAGACTTCTGTTCAAGAACAAGTACCTGAAAGAAATTCGAGAAAAATAATTAAAAAACATAGATAAAATAGCATAACTAAACCTTCTGAACAAAATAAATAAAAACTAGGGAAAAAGGACAAACATACCCCGAACCATCGTAAATGGTATGCAAATACCGTCCTTCGCTATAACGAAAGACTAAATGGGGACACGTGGCACAATCTTATTCGTCGATCCGATATTTAATAAATATCGGATCGGTGGATAAGATTATGACACATGTATGTCTATTAGTATAAATGATATATATGCTCTAGTTTTTAGACGACGGGGCACCAATGTTCCAAAAATATGACGAATGGTATCTGCATACCATTTACAATAGTTCAGAGGTATATTTATCCTTCTTTTCCTAAAAACTGTACTAACATATAAATATATCATTTAACTTGGTTAAACATGCACGTCTTACATATCAAATCACGTAAGATGCTTATATCTTGCATGACAAATAGCATAAGATTTAGCCATGTATCACCATTGTTTACTCGTTCAACTTTATTTAGCTTTTATGTAATAGTGTCCTCTAATTTTTTTGAGTCAAAAAATTAAAACTAAAGTGAAAATTGTATGGCAGCCATTGCTAGCAAACTTGCAAACCGTGGCAAAAACGTGTTCACTTCCGATACTTTCTCCGGTAACAAAGTTTATATGATAACAATATCACACCATTAACGTCGGCCGGCGATCGGAAAAGTTTGCTCCCAGAAGAAGAGGAAGAAACGAAATCAACATTTCGCAAAATCCTCTTCTTCTCCATTATTTATTTTTTCATCTATTATTGTACGGATTTACGTACAATTTTGATTTAACAATGGCGGATCAGGAGGAATTTGTGAAATCGGTAGAAGACGGATTGAGGTTATCAAAACGGATATATTTTGGGAAGGATCGTGCGGTTGCGCCGCCGAAGCAGATGACGGCGATGGAGAAAACGGCGGAATCGTATTTTCCGACGTCGCCTATGATGTATGCTGTGATTGAGAATCCTGCGTTCGTTGATAACCCGGATATTCCGAGTTATCAACCTCATGTGCATGGCAGGTGTGATCCTCCTGCTTTGATTCCGTTACAGATGAACGGAGTTTCGATTGCGGCGGATTGTTATTTCGATACGGCGTTTATCACTGTTAAGGGTTCGTGGCGGCTGCATTGTGTTATGAGTTGCCGGAGCTGTGATTGTAGCATTGCTGTTCCCATGGGCGAACAGGTAATTATGGAAATTTAAATTCTATCACATTTATTTTGATTTTTGAGGTCACAGTTCAAGCTATGGAAATAGCCTCTTGCAGAAATGAACATACTGTGTGCAAAGTCGGAGCTTAATGCACCTGGCTATCCCTTTATTTTGAATAATTTTGAGGGACAACTTGAAACTCATCCTATTTTATTGAATACACGATTCTTCTAATTTACCCATAAAAGTTCACTCTTTTTCAATGATGTAATACCTGTTAAGTGTTGTTCTCATTAGGTAGAGAGTAATCATAATTGTTAGAGTGGGTTAGAGTCTCACATTAGTTGGAATTAGACGGGTGGTTCTCCTCTTGAGCTAACTTTTGGGGCTGAGTAAGGTCCATGTGTCATGTCTTTATAGTAATGAAGCTATCCATTTTAGTAAATGCAAAGAGATTACCTTTTTGAATGACTTCTCTTCATCAGAGCTGATAATATAAGCACTTAAGAGGGAAAGGTTTTGTGTTTTTGTTTTCCACTCGATGCTCGGTATCCACTTGGGTGTTATGGTTTAACTTTTGGTAGGAAACAATATTTTTGTCTAATTACTAGTTGTGAACTATTAGAAGCTTCAAAATACCATTCAGATGTTTTCCCTGTGATAATGGCAGTTGTAGTTTCTTACCTTACAAAAAAACATGAACTTTGATATATCAACCAAAGATGTTGGTGATCATGATTTAGGATGTCAAACGGGTTTTGTAGCTTTGATTGTTTCGGTTAAGTATTTTCAATATTTTCTGTCACAAGTCAATGGCTTCTGAAATGTTAGCATATCTTGAAAGCAATGAGCTATCGAGATTCTTTTCTAGTTCTAAGGCTTAATAGAACTTCTCTGGATAGTGTGCTCTTCTCTGTTCTTCCCTGGCTCTCCCCTCCCTTATTCCCCTTTCTATGCAAAGAGAGGAGCAGAAATGATATGGAATTTGTGATTTCACATAAAAGAAAAGAAAAAGGTAGTTTTCCACCTTCATGTAAGATTTTGGGAAGTGTTGTATTGTTGAATCTTTCTTATTCTTTTATAATCCTTGCCATTCTCCTGTTTCACAGAAGTGAAACATTGCTGATTGTTTGTTCTCAAGTGATGCATTATTTGGCTAACAGGGTTCAATTCTAGGTGTCGAGATTGAGTTACCCAGGAAATCATACAGCACAAAACTAGTTGCCGAGGATGATGAAAAAGAAAATAAGAAGTTAGTCAAAATTGAAGATGGATGCTTTCTGAAGCCACATATTTTTACCCTTACATTACCAGAGGTAACTGTCTGCTATATAATTTGCTTTCTAATTTCGTCCATGATTGTTCATTTTACTAATGGAATTACCTTTTCAGATTGATGGGGGAACATATATCTCAGTCACTATTAGATGGTCTCAGAAGTTATTGTATCGCGATGGCCAATTTACCTTGAGCATACCCTATAGTTTCCCCGTGTACGTGACTCCAGTTGGAAAGAAGATATCTAAGAAAGAAAAGATACAGTTTAATGTTAACTGTGGTCCGCGAGCTGAGGTTTCGTGTAAGGCTATCAGTCACCCTCTTAAGGTGAAACTTGTTATGCATTCTACTGATTTGTGATTTGTGTTTGATGAAGTAATATGACATTGGTGTCGATAATGGTCTTTTAGGAACTAGACGAGGAAGATGAAAAGTTAGGCTGGTTCTACGAAGCTGAGGTCCTTAACTGGTCAAGTAGTGATGTTGTAATTACTTACAAGGTACGCCCTCCATGAATTTGTTTCGGATTCCTGGAAGAAAGTTTCAATTATGTGTCGACTAGGTTAATATATCACAGTCTGTTGTTTATAATAAACGTGTATGTTGCAATTTCAATTTAGCAACATTAAAATGATATAAAGCTTTTCTAAAATTTGGGTTCCGAGGAACTCTCTCATCTGTCATCACTGTTGTTTTAGATCTCGAGTCCCAACTACCACGGCAGTGTACTTCTGCAATCTCCCCAACAACATGACACTGATCAGAGAAAGATGTTCAGTTGCTATCTTTTTCCAGGTGCCTTGGAGTGTAGAAAGGTTGGTACTTCTTTTTTCATTGTCTTCTTTTGCATAAATCCAGAAATTTAATTACTAGCAAAGTTGAAATAGCACCTCGACTAATTCCATGGGATATCTTTCACCTCCCACCATCAACAAGTACCTATTAACTCTATCCACCTAGGCTAGAAACATATGAGAAGATATTACCTAGTGTTTTGATTCTGCTGGGATTTAAACTTGAGACGTCAACCCACTTCATTTACCACTAGGCCGCACCCTTGGGTGCTTACAGTCGATGAATATTGTGACTTACTTTCCTTTATTGGTTCTGAAGGTTCCTCTTTTTCTTTTCTTTTAATTGGTTAGCAATGTGGGAATGTTATTGCTCTCTTGAAAGAGGAAGCTTTAGATATTTTCATTTCCTTTGAACTTTGTGATAGGTATTCAGAAAGGAAGTGATATTTGTTGTTGATATAAGTGGGAGCATGAAGGGAAAACCAATTGACGATTCCAAACAAGCACTCTCTGTAGCATTATCAAAACTTGATTCCCAAGATCTGTTTAATATAATAGCTTTCAACAATGAAGAGTACCTATTTTCATCATCTCTGGAGGTAGCAACCAAGGAGGCTATTGACAACGCAATTCAGTGGATTGACATGAACTTTATTGCTGGTGGCAGTA